CTTTGCACGATTACGTCTATAGTTGATTTTTAACTCTTGAAATTTGAAAACGTGTTTTTTTATACCGGACGAAAAAGTACGACTTTACGCCCCCAAAATTAGAACATAAAGTGCGGAATTTATGTCCAGTGTGTTAAGGGAAAAATATGAAGATAGCAAAAAGTAGGAAAAGGTTGAAGTTAAAGTACAATATAAAAAATTATTAAAAATACCTTTTACAATTTTATTTTGTCAGTTCAAAATTCAACCTAGCAGAATTATTGGCATCTCATAGAGGGGTAAACAATTGTGAAGGTGGTAAATGAATTTAAAAAGCTTTATAGCACACAGTGGTATTAAAAAATTACTTTTTTTAATTTAACCTAAGCTACCATGAGCTAGTTAAGATGCGAAAAATTAGTAAAAATTCGAGCAGAATCAATCGGGTGGTAATAAATTTGTAAAAACCTATCAAAACACTGTGGTACTTAATTTTTTTTTTAATTCTGCTGGCTCAAATATTTAGCTAGCGGGAACGTTTCCAAATAAAATTGCTGTAGAGGTGGAAAATTATTAGGGTGGTGAAATTGTAGCAAAAAATTACCAGAACATTTTTGTATTTCAATTATAAGTAGAGTACAGTGAAATATAAAAAAATTTCACCATAAATTTTAACCTAACAGAATTATTGATTGATAGCGTACAGTAAAATTGTAAAAATAGATTTTTCATCGCCTTAAATTTTAATCTAACAATTGTTGACTTTCCACATGGGTTAGTTGAGGGTGAAAAATTACTAGGGTGGTAATAAATTCGTAAAAACCTAGCAGAATACTGTGATATTTTAAATATCCTCCTCCTCCTAAGTGCCTTCTCTATTGAGGTTGGCGATCAATATGGCAAATTTCTCTCTGTTCTGGGCTTGATGGATTAAGTCATTTCCTGTTGTGTGAGTCCAATCTCTGATGTTTCGGAGCCAGGATTTCTTCTTTCTTCCTATACCCTTTTACCCTCGATTTTGCCTTCTAATATTACCTGGAGCTGCTCAAATTCCTTATGGCGCATTATGTGTCCTAGATATGACGTCTTTCTAATTTTGATTGTATTAACCAGATGAGGTCGTGTGTTCATTATTTCCAGTACCTCTTCATTTGTAGTTTTGCTGGTCCAGCTTATTCTTAGCATTCGGCGGTACATCCACATTTCGAATGAATTCAGTTTGTTGACGTCATACTGTTTTAATGTCCAGGTCTCACAGCCATATAGTAGTAGAGACCACACATAACACTTTAGTGTTCTTAACCTTATTGTGATTGATAGCTTGGGGTTACAGAGCATTTTACGCATGTTCATGAAGCCAGATCTTGCTATTTCAATACGTCTTCTAATTTCTTTTGAGTGGTCTAGCTGACTGTTTAGCTCTCTGCCCAGGTATATGAAGCTTTGGGAGCTCTGAAGGGTGATACCATTGATTTGTATGTTGGGTGTAATTTGTTCATGGGGGTTCTTGTGGAATACCATGATTTTGGTTTTGGAAAGATTAATATCCAAACCTAGTCTGTGACTTTCTTCTGATAGTATGTTCATCAATATTTTTAGTTGGTCTTCTGTTTCTGCTAATACTACGGTGTCATCGGCATATCTTACATTGTTAATGATGATTCCATTGACTCTGGCACCTTCAGGGCGATCTTCAAGAGAAGCTCTGATGATATTTTCGGCATAGACATTAAATAGAAGAGGGGACAGAATGCACCCTTGACGCACTCCTCGTTCTATGTTTACATAATTGGTATTTCCGTTGTCTGTTCGAACACATCCTGTGTGGTTCCAGTATGTATTGCTTATTATAGCTATGTCGTGTCCGTCCAGCCCTACTTCTTTTAGCACCTCAATCAATTTTTCGTGTCTAATGCGGTCGAAGGCCTTTCTATAATCGACAAAGCACACATACAGCTGTTTTTGAACCTCGAGATACCTTTCTGCCATTAGTGTCAATCCCATTATTGCTTCTCTGGTGCCTGTACCTTTCCTAAAACCATATTGAGAACGACTCAGGTATTCTTCACACTTATTGTGAATGCGGTTATAAATTACTCGCATAAAAATCTTAGCAGCATGACTCATTAGGGATACAGTTCGATGGTCTTCACATTTCCTTGCTTTTTGTTTTTTAGGAAGAGCTACATATGTGGATGTTAGCCAGTCATGCGGTAGAGTGCCATGTTCATATATAATGTTAAAGAGGTAGGTTAATTTCCCGACAGCATCATCACTCAGGTGTTTAAAATGTTCGGCTGTTGTTAGATCTTCGCCGGGTGCCTTGTTGTTCTTTGCGTCTTTTATTGCCCGGATAACTTCTTCGGTTAGAATACTTAGTTTTCCATCGGTATCTATTTGTGGGGGCCCTTCTGCTCTCCGATCACCAAACAAATCTTCAAGATATTGTTCCCATATTTTCGTCTGTTTTTCAGGGTCTAATTCCATTTGGTTTTTCGTGTTTGTTACAATAGATAAATGTTTGGGTTTCCATATCCCAGCGACTTCTTTCACCTTTCTGTGTAATTCTCTATCTTTATGCTTCCTTTGCAGATCTTCTACCTCTTTACATTTTTCTGTCATCCACTCTTCCTTAGCTACATTTATTTTTCTCTCAATTTCCTTGTTAAGCTCTTTGTATCTCGTTAGGTTTTTGTTTTTTACCATCCGTCTCCTCTCCATAATTTGTAATATTTCGTTTGTCATCCATGGTTTTCTTTGTTTACGATTTTCTTTCTGTATATTTTGGTTTGCTGTCTCCAGGATAGTATTTTTAATTTTTCCCCACGTATCTTCAATGTTTTCTTTTATTGTCTTCTCTTTAGTGAGAGCTAATGTCTTAGACTCTAACTGCGTGTCTACCATGTCTTTATACATATGTTTTTGTCCCTGGTCAGCACTACTCCATGCTACTCTCTGACTGGGTTTAGCCTTGCCTACTCTTTTAAGTTTTATTCTGACAGTTGCAACTACAGGATTGTGGTCTGAATTTGTGTCACAGCTTGGGTACGTTTTTACATTTAGAATACCATTATGAAACCTTTTATTAATTGTAATGTAGTCGATTTGGTTCCTCACAATATTTCCTTCGCAATCTTGAAGAGACCTCCATGTATACAGACGTCTTTTTTGGTAATTTCAAACATTTGTTAAGAACCACCAAGTTGTTCTCTTGGCAAAATTCAACAAAGCGTGTGCCTCGTTCTTTCCTCGTTCCTAAACCGTATGGGCCGATGATTGATTCGACCTTTTCTGCTCCTACCTTCGCATTCCAATCTCCCATAAATATGTTGATGTCATCTGATTTTATGTGTTTTTTAATCTTTTCAATATCGGAGTAGAAAATCTCAAGATCTGCATCTGTGCTGTCTGCTGTGGGGGCGTATACCTGTATTATATTAATGTCGAATGGTTGTCCATTTAATTTGATGATCATTACTCTGTCGCTGACTGGTAGACAACCCTTCGTGTGTTGTTTCATGGATGCTGTTACCAGAACTCCTATACCTGATTGGGCATCATCATCTTTGCCTGCATAATAAAATCGGTTTCAATTTATTGTATCCACATATCCTTCTCCTTTCCATCTCACCTCACACATACCAAGTATGTACCACTTCATTCGTCCCATCTCGTTTTCAGCGTTTGCTAATTTGCCTGCTCTATACAATGTCTTAACATTCCACGTAGCAATTTTAAGTTTCCTCCCGGGGATTCTTAGCACCCCTTGACGATTGAACGCCTGCTGGGCACTAGAGGCCATGTATTGATTTTGACTTGCCATATTAACTATCTTGGGAATTTGATGCGATGGTTTCCCACTTGCCTTTCGCATCCTATGCCGTTGACGACGCGATATCGTTCATCCGCCTTCGGGGACGATTTCTCATCCCCAGGACAAGAGGGTGCCCTTGCGTTATTATTAAGAATAACGTTGAATGCTTATACCGGCAAACACTCGGTCCCCATCTGCGTCAGCCACCTAAGCTAACTACTTAAGTGTTGCCCATCTTCTACCACGTGGAGGTGCAGATTGGGAGTTTCCCTTCATTGAGCTCAAGACCGTAAAGGCATTTCTTGATACTCTCCAGTACTTTAAGAAGATAGATATTTTAAATATAACTTTTATTATTTCCACTGGCTCGAACATTAAGCTAGCAGGAACGTTTCCAAATAAAATTGGTTTTTGTGTGAAAAATAATCATGGTAATTAAAGTTTAGCATAAACGTAACAGAACATTTTTTTATTTCAGTTATAAGTAGAGAAGAGTGAAATTGTTAAAGAATATTTTTTTGTCTTAAATTTTAATCTAACTAATTTTAACATCACTATAATTAGTGTACATGCTTATTTGTACGCCTAACACTTTATGTATACGAAAAATTGCTTGTCGCCTGAACTGTCAACGTACAATTTATGTAAAAACACAGCTTTGCTCTTACATGTCCGAAGTTAAATCGGTATGAAGAGAATATGCGCAGTTGACCTCCGGCGGTATAGAACGTTGTCTTATTAATTCTTAAAAATTTTATTCGGCAGCTAACGTGTTAAGATAGCCTAAACGTTATGTTTTAAATAGCTCCCTATAATTTATCATAGAAGGGTGAGGGTGGGTGGGACGAAGGGTTCTTAATAGCTCGAACGACTAAGAAAATCCATTTATTTCCCTTTGTGAGCCTACAGTACCATTAAATATAAAGAATAAAAAGATAAATATTTTTTCTAGTGTTGCCTCTATAGAGAAAATAACTAGGTTGTCTCCTTGGATGCAAAAACCAAAACTCGAACCTAAGATTCTGTCAATTGAGATTAATGTAGTTAAAATTCTTACAGTTGTACTTTTACTCAGATATAATGAATTTTTTTCTTTTCGGGGTGAACCTTCAGGTTTCTAAATATCGTTGACATTTTAGTTTCTCCATTTATAACCCATCTCCTACACGCGCAGGACATTTGATAATAAATAATTTTCTTGTTTCAGTCATCGTGTTATGGTTAGAACATGTAACGGTTTAGAGTTAAGAGATTCGGGACTCTATCACGATACCTCCGACTTGGCGGAGGATCCGTCGGGATTTTTCCCGAACGCTAGCTCCATAGATGAACTGACCCCAAGGTAAGTTCAATAATTGTTTCTGTCACATTTCATTATTTTTATTTGGTTTACATTTTATATTTTTGGATAAACATTCATGTTCAAAAGTCGGCAAGTAAGAATTGAATTTGTTCGGAACGAATGAATCAACGCAATATCAATTATTGTAGTATGTGCTATTTCGTGATGTAGGAATCTGTTGTAGTTTTATATTCCTTAAAAATATCGATTACGATTTTGGTATAGCGACAGGAAAAATGAAAATTTTTAATTCCACACTGTTAGGGAGAGCGCCCACCAAACTGGCGTGGCAAGTAGCACGTAGCAAGTAGCACGCGTCTAGCATGTTTCTTAAAATGTAACCAATGATTAGAATGAATGACGTCACTGTCATTTTGGTGTGCGCTGAATAATTCGTTTTCATTGGTTACATTTTAAGAAACATGCTAGACGCGTGCTACTTGCCACACGCTACGTGCCACGCCACTTTGGTGGGCGCTCTCACTAAAATAGAAGTAAAGTGTGGATGCTAAAAGCTGCCAGTTTGAACAAATTAAAGTACAGTGGTACATCGATATACGAGCGCCTTAATATGTGAGTGTTTTGAAATGCGAACTGTGAAGCTAGCGATATTTTTGTTTGAGATGAGAGCAAGATTTGAGATATGAAGAATCGGATTTTGTTCACATTTATACCTCTTATTTGATTACTTCTAATTTGCTTTGTAAATAAAAGGTAGTTTTTGGAAGTCAAAATGGTCATTGGAAGTTAAATCCGGTAAAAATTCGGATTCTAATACTAACCATATTGCCCTCTCGATGTCGGTGTAATTTACACTGTGTAAATTTTTACTATAGACCTCAGTCTATCTGCTTTACTTGTTTCTCTAATTTTCAAAGTATTATTGATGATAAGTTGGGTTTGCGTTTTGTGCTTTTTGTACATTACAATATTACATTTATTTTTACAACCATGGGTTCAAAGAATATTATGATGTGTATTGTTATATGATATACGAAAAACATGAGCAAGGTGTACGAGTAACTGACTTGGCGAGGACGTACGGGCGTACCACATCAATGATATGTACCGTACTTAAAAGAAAAAAGGTAATAAATGGTATAATGCCAGCCAAGGGCGTTACAATAATTTCTAGGCTCCGGACTTCTCTCTATGAAAAGATGGAGAAACTACTAATGGTGTAGGTGACAGAGAAGCAGCTTCAAGGAGGAACCTTAACACAAAGCATCATATGTGGAAAGTCACGAGCGATTTATGAAGATTTGCTGAAGCACATCCCACACACTTCCACAAATGATGAATCGGAAGACTCGTTTAGAACCAGTTAGTAAGTCAGCCAGTGGTTTGACCATGAACTTTAGAAAAAGGACCGGCATTCACTCCGTCGTCAGACATGGTGAGGCAGTAAGTTCCAATGTGAAAGCAGCTGAGATTTACATCAAAACGTTTTCTGAACTGACAGAAGCCAAAGGATACATCCCCCAGCAAGTCTTCAACTTTTAAGGGCTTTTCTGAAAAAATATATCGAAGAGAGACTTACATAACGGCAGAGGAAAAGAAGATGACAGGTCACAAACTTATGAAACATAGATTAACTCTACTACTTTGCGCCAATGCGAGTGGCGACTGTAAAATCAAACCTCTTCTAGTGTACCATTCAGAAAATCCCAGAGCCTTTAAGTCACATAAGTTTTTAAAAGAAAATCTGCCAGTTATAACAAAAACAAGTAACGTGTTTTTTTGGGGACTGAACGGATTAATGGCATTTCAGTTAATTTCAATTGCTTTGACATACAAGCAATTTGACATACGAGCAAGATTACGGAAAAAATTACACTCGTATGTCGAGGCACCACTGTATTTGAATTACAGGTATATAGACGAATTTCACAAATATTTTGGAACTCTTACAATATCAACTGGGAAGTTCTGCACAGAATAAAGAAAGCGGAAAACTGCATATCTTAAACACGTAATAAGAAACAACAGATACGATTTTCTACAGCTCGTAATCGAGGATAATATTAAGGGCTAACGTGGTCCAGGACGAAGACAGTGCACCTCCCCTAGAAACGTATGAGATTGGAGACGGTTAGACTTAAACGGATAGTTGGAAAAGACCCACACAGAAGAATGTGACAAAATTGTTGCATATCTTCGATAGGAGAACGTACTCGCAGAAGAAGGACTGCGTGAAAACCAGTACTATATGTTTTGGCGCATATTGTATTTTAAGATATTTTTAGGATATCTGGTCTGTTTATTTTGTTCTTTCTGATTGTCCATTGTAAGACTAGATCAAATAGTCTTATAGGGGATCCGCTCCATTTTCTGTTTCCATCACTTCTAATGATCTCTTATAATATATAACCTTTTTCTTTGTGTTTTAAAGTTTTATTTTTATTAGACTGATTAATATTTCTTGCCTTATGGGTCCCATCAGAATTTTAATATACAGGGTGTTTCAAAAAGGAATGATTTTGCTTTATGTTTAAAATTGTGTTTTTGCATTGCCTCCTAACTACTTGACATTTTGTAATAAAAATGGACACATTACTTTCTTGTTCTGAAAGCATTTTTCATACAAAAGAAACAACAAAATCCAAGCGGACAGAAAAATTTAAAGGGGTGTGTGTAGCCCTATATCCCCCAAACTTGTGAGTACGTTCAAATCAAATGAATTTTGTGGCAGTAGTTTAACACATTATTTTTAAAAGTTTTTTGCCTCTTCTCACTTTTTCAAAAACCTAGTTTTTTTCTAGTTGGCTATAAAATTACAATTAGTTTCTACGGATACAATAATTACAAACAGTTACATCAATAATAGTCAATAATTTGAAGCTGTCATTTATTGTGTGAATAAGATTAATATTAAAAATTTTGATATTACAATGGCCTACACATTTCAGGAAATGGCAGATATGCATTTAACTTTGGGTAAGTTGGATCAGATTAAATTATGATTTCAATATACTATCGGGAATATCGCAGGTGAATGTCAAGGAAATAGTGCAGCAGCCGCAAGGTGTTATGCAGTAAAATACCCCAATCGAAATACACAAGATAGACGACTATTTCTGATCATCGATTATCGTTTACAGGAAACGGGTACATTCCAACCGCAAGTTGCTGGCAATAGTGGTCGTCCAATAATGGATGCAGCTGATGAAGACATTGAAGAAGTTCCTGGAACAAGTACAAGAGTAATAGCTGCTCAACTAAATGTTGCTCACGTAAGAGTTTGGAGGCGTTTGAAGAATCAGCTGCTTAAATCTTATCACTCAAGATATATCTTATCCTATCAAGAGTTATTGGTTGAATATTATCCTAAAAGGATTGGATTTTGCGATTGTTTGTTCTCAAAGTATTAATTTTATTAGAAATATTTTGTTTACCGACGAGGCTACCTTCAGTAGAAATGGAATAACAAACCATCATAACAAGCACAATTGGGCCGACGAAAATCTTCACGCCAAAAAAACGACTCATCGCTAAAGGACTTTCAAAGTTAATGTTTGGACAGGAATTGTGGATAACAATCTAATATTGTTCTGAAGCTATTTTCTTGTGGCATTTTAAATTAATTACTATTTAACTGGGAATAAGGCACAATTTCAATTCACAATAAATTTCAATTTCCACTTCGGAATTTTGTATTTTGAGAACGATTTCCGAAGTGAAATTGAAACGTCAATAAACATATTTTTATCTTTAATTGTGGCTTATTTCCAGTTAAATAGTAATTAACAATCTAATAGGCCCAGTATTTCTTCCCAACAAATTAAATGGTGATAATTATTTGCAGTTCATGGCAAACGATTTACAAGAGTGTTTGGAAGAAGTGGATATTGCAATAAGGTAAAATATGTGGTTTCTACAAGATGGTGCTCCATCGCATTACAGTAATGAAGTCCGAGAATACCTTGCATTTACAGGCAGTACCCTAATTGGTGGATTGGAAAGGGTCGTGACGCACCTATTTGTTGGTCACCCAGAAGTCCAGGTCTTAACCCCATGAACTTGTGCTTTTGGGAGTTTCTGAAAAAGAAAGTGTATTCTGTAACAATAGAGGAGGAACAACAATTGAGGGTTAGAATAATTAAAGCTGCAAATCAATTTCGTCAGAAAAATACGATTTTTCAGCACATTCGGTTTTCCTTATTAAAACGATACCGAATGGGTATTGAAGAAAATGGGGATAATTTTGAACATTAATTGTAATATCATATTTATAGAGGTTATAGACATTTTTTGTACCTGTTAATTCATTTAAGCCATTTATTTAATTGCATTAAAATCTGTTTTTTAAAAAAAGTGATGAGGCAAAAAAATTTTAAAAATAAATGTGTTAAACTAATGATGCCACCAAATTCATTTGATTTGAACATACTCAAAAGTTTGGGGGGATTTAGGGCTGCACACTCCCTTAAAATTTCCTCTGCGCTTAGATTATGTTGTTTAGGAGATAATGAAAAAAAAACAAACAAACTTTTTTTGTGTAAACTTTTGTACTAAGGTAAGTTGGATTCAATCAATTTATTTTTGTCCCCGGAAAGCGTGATTTAATTTATGACATACCGTTTTGAAACACCCTGTAAATAGAAATAATAACCCAATTTTATTACACTTCAATTAACTTCTATTACTATTAAATTTAAAATCGAGAACTATTTCTGAACTGAAATTTAAAACTTCAGAATAAACATATTTTAACTAATATTATAGTTAATTCTCATTTCTAAGATTAGCAGATAACATCTATCAACTATTTCTAACAGCATTACATTAAATAACTTTTATCAATATCGATCACAACTTTAAAATTTATTATTGTATCTTGTTTACTCCTGACCATGTACTCCTGGTAAAGATTCTCCCGAAAGATGAAAAATTATACACCGCAGACCAAATTTTATTCAATTTTTCAAACCGATCTCCTCCCTGAAGTATCCGTTTAGGAAATTGATGGTAGAAATATCAGCGTTAAATATTCATATTTAATATTCTATTTGATTCATTGGGGCAAAACGTAAAAGGGTAGGGACTACTTTTGCCAAATCTGTGACGGATGAGGTGGAATGTTTTAAGCCCCATTAAATATTTAAATTTTAATTATTTCTAAATAAATCCCGTTTTAGCTTTTTGAATCGATAAATAAACTTTTTTGTTTCAATGATTTAATTGAGAATATATTGAGTTTAAAAACACGCTTTGTATTAGTAGAAATTTGAATCAATTATACAGCGTTATGCAGAAAGCACCATTCAACAGTGACAATCAAGTTTAAAGTTTTATTGATTTAAAATATCTGTAGAATATGTTGCTACTACTTTGTTATCTTTTTTACTGTGGATAGTTATTTTGGTATTTTCTATATGTTTAAATATTTTAATTGTAAATTAAAAAGAGAAACGGGAAATTTTTGTTGATTAGTAGGTTTATGCATTTTACAAAGTGGTAAATTAATAACAACAATATTAAATAAAACAAAAGTAAAGTTAAAAAATTATTTTTATTTATCGAAAAGCAGTGCCGGATTAATTAAGGGGGGGCTATGGGACTATTAACCACCGGTGGTAAATTTTGAGTGGCGGTATATCGCTCCGATCGCGTTTTAATTCTATATGAAATAGTATGATAATAAAACTTTGTCTCGTCACCGATAAGATTCGTACATGCGGTAACAGGTCGTACAAAAACACTTTTTATTTTTCCGGGAAATCGGATAGCGCCACTGCGCCTGGCGGCAGCGTGTCCTGCTCGCCAGGCGCGAAAAAAAAAGTGTTTTCGTGACGTTTCTAAAAAATGAGCGGAAAGGAAGGAGGTGCATTTTGGAAACGACAAATGTTCGAAAAACAACAAAAATTAAATGCAGTATTAAAAAAAAACCCAAGATTCAGATTTTTTTACCAAATCCAGGCAAGATAGTATACCAACGAGCACTTCTTTTCAAGACGATCCAATTGCAATAGTTTCAGATGTTTTAGAAGGTAGGTTTATTTGAATGATTTAGTTACTTTTTAATAAAATAAAATTTGCAGCTGGATCTTCATCACGTCGAGATGATTCATCCACGGCAACTTCAGACCCACTTTGTGATATCGAGTTACATCCTGAAAAGAGTTCTCCTGAACGGCAAATTCTAGTTGAAAGTGATGTTAATCGAGTTGATTTACAAGATCCAAAATTCTGACCAAGAAATTGTGTAGATGAAGTGCTGAACGAATTCAAAACACAGGATCTTAATTCTTTAGACTTTTAAAGTTCAAAAGAAAAATAGAAAACAAAACAGGTACTGCACTAAATCACTATTCTATAAGTTTTAAAGAATGTGAAAAATTCGGTGACTGGTTAGTTTATTCCAAAAGCACAGGCTCTTTATTTTGCTTATTCTGTCGATTCTTTTCAAGCGAAAATTGCACTTTTTCCTTTTTTACTGGAGTTGACGACTGGAAAAAGGCTAAAGAAAAATGTGATAGTCATGAAAATTCAGTCGTTCATTTAGAACATCTTAAAAATTTTATTTCAAAAAATTCATTAAGTATGAGAAAGATCGATGATTCTCTGCGGCAACAGATTGAACATGAGACCACATATTGGCGAAACATATTACAAAGAGTCGTCAGTGTCATAAAATTCTTAGCTGGTAGGGGACTACCTTTTATAGGAACCGACAAAAAATTTGGTTCTACTAGCACTGGCAACTACATTGGATTACTAGAGTTGTTGGCGGAATATGATCCTCTTTTAAAAGAACATATTGAAAAATATGCATCAAAAGGCTGTCGTTCAGTATCTTATTTTTCAAAAGCGGTTTGTTTTGAATTTTTGCAAGTGCTTTCGGACCACATTTTAGAAGAAATTGTAAAACAAATTTATTGTTGCAAATATTATTCAATCAATATTGACTCTACGCCTGATATAACATGTACATATCAACTGACATTCATTATTAGGTATTGCTGAGACACCGGAACATCTGTCGAGAGGTTTATACAGTTTTTAGACAACACTAATAACCTGAATATAAATATCGATGACTGCAGGGGACAATCGTATGACAATGCGAATAACATGTCTGGCGTTTATAGCGGTCTCCAAGCCCAAATAAAATCTAGGAATAGTTTGTCAAAATACGTACCATGTGCAGCCCATTCCCTAAATTTGATTGTGCAACATACAGCAGAATGCAATATGGAAAGTATTTTTTTTTAGTTCCTGAAGAAATTTATGTTTTTTTCTCAGCTTCAACTTACAGATGGAAACGACTCACTGATCTATTGAAAAATTGAGGCCATACAACATTTCTTCCAAAAAGAGCTAATGTGACTCGATGGTAAGGACGATTTAATGCATTATAAGCTCTTAAATTATGCTATCAAAATATAAAGCAAGCACTTTAGAGTTATCCCTCCTCTAACGACGATGAGAAGATGGCAGTTCGCTGTCAAGCAAACAATTTACAAGAAAAGATGGCTACGTTGGAATTTGATATTTATGTTGCCTTTTGGTTCGAAGTACTTAAAAGAACTGACCTAGCGAGTAAATCTTTACAAAGCGCAAATATAGACTTACATATATGTTCGTCTTTGTGTAGCTCATTACAACATTTTTACGAGTCTCTTAGTGATAAATGTATTTATTTAAATAAAAGGGGCAGCTCTTATCACAAGTCTAGAGGAAAAGCTTATGCAGATCTTGTCATCACTCTCTTATTTTTATTTTTTCTACCTCTTTCAGAGGATAACGTGATTTGAGACAAAGTGTCGGTATTAGTGAGTATTTATTCGAATGACTTGGATACATCTCTAGCAAGTGAAACAATTAAAACATTTTATAATGTCACAACTAGGTCAAGTTGAGTAAAAAAATCCAACAACTCACAGTGCTACTTTTGTGATGGAGTTTTTACATAAAAATAATATAATTGCAACCTTCCGAAAATACAATGACGGAAGAAACATTAAATTCGTTTGCTGTTTTAAATATTAATAATGATCTGCTTACAAAATTAGATTTTAATAAAATCATCGACCTGTTTGCAAGTAGAAAGTCCAGGAACATTTGTTTGTAAATAATTATGATATTTTACTTTATAAGTTGTGAATTTGTGTCTTTGTGGCTTTTTTGTATATTTGTAATAAATTACCTAATAAAAAAATAGTTTTAATGAATTGTTAACTTAAGGCGCATCTATACCTACTGGAGAGTGGCGGTATAGTATGACTTAGCCACTGGCGGTCCATGAACTAAATCCGGCGCTGCCGAAAAGTCAAAGATATGATTATTCGACGTATTAATTTAATAAATTTTATTATCAATCTCCGTCATCCACTTCAAAATCTAAATCTTCAATATTAAAATTATAATCCTCAACATCTTGAGTTATATTGGTACCCTGCAAATTTTGATAAAAACGCAGTGCATCGGCAGGAATAAGGTGCATTATTTCCTTTAAATTTTGTAATTTCGCCTCAGCGATAGGCTTTCCGTTAGGCCACAGTGGTATTAAATCGCTTAGGATTTCTTAGTTACCAATTCGAACCTCGAGAAGATTTTTTAATAGAAATTTTTTGGTAAGGTTGTGAAAAATCGTGTTGTTCTATCATTATCCGAAATGGGTCTTGCTTTTCTATTTTGATTGACCTAATCTTTAACCAATTTCTTTTTATTCTACATTTCTTTTTATTTCCCATAGCTAAATTTCAACTTACATAATCATTCATACTTAACTCTATACTTGTCACCATTAATACACTAACATCACCCCTTTGCCAATATCCAACTACCCATCCTCTCCAATAACTACCATCACTTATCATACATATTTTTTTATAATTATTCATTTTACATCTATTATTTTCTTATCACAATCAGTTTTAATATCCCCAGTTTACATCGCTATATTCACCTTCTAATTCCTTTCCTGCTTTCTCGTTAATTTCTTTTTTCTTTTGCTTTCCTCTACTCATCTTCCATAAATTACAATCCTACTTTTATATATATTCATTTAATCATACACATACAATCATACACATTTTCTTATAAATATTCATTTTACATCTATCTACCTCTTATCACAATCAGTTTCAATTTCCCCAGCTTACATCGTCACATTCACTTTCTATTTCCTTTTCTTACTTCTTCGTTTATTTCTTTTTCTTTTCCTCGACTCATCTTCCATAAATTACAATCCATCTTTTATATATACTCATTTAATACAACGATACAATTAGGTAATAACATCCTTTTCATCCCATTTAAAATGATTTATTAATTTTAACCACTTAAATTACATAAAATTTTTTTCCCTACCTTGGTATACCGATTTATTTTGCATCACAGTCACGCATTGATTTATATTCTCCCATCAGTTTTTTAAAATACCAAAAATTGCTTATGATCCTACTACACACAAAACACATTTCTTCACTAAAAACTGCCTACTCACAAACTTAAGCACAATGACTTTGCTCCTACCACATCATTCCTCTTGACATTGACGGGTACTAACTGATTTTTCATACCATCTTTCTATCAGTTAGCCCTAGACTCCAACACAGATCAGAGGTAATGTAAGTCAATAAAACTTCACCAACTACAGGGGGTCATATAAGATGCCCCCAGTTTCATTTTTTATATTACACAAGTCAAGAGTCTATTGCATTTACCTGAATAAATAACACGAAGAATATTATTTTAAATCCAGATGTCCACCGAATGTTTTTTATGTGGCCACACAATGTTTTTTAACAACCTTTTTTATGTAAGTAGTAAAAAACCAACTTTCTCTTTTTGTATGTTCAAATTTTAACTTTGTTGTTTTTAATATTGGTATTTTTACTCTCTCTTTTAGTAAACTGATGATGGAATGATACAATTCCGAAAAGATCTTCTTTATAATAAAAAATTTTAAGCTTTTAATAAGCGTTTTTATACCTTAATACACACGAACACCACGTGCTTTGTATTCAACAGGTATACTAGCCACTCCTGGATCTCTCCACTTCATGGTTTGTTCCAGTTTCACTTTTAAAAATTTAACCAATTTATTTTTTCTTTATCTTTAGTTACTTTGCGATTAGTATTATTTTTTCCATGTTCATTGCGCCTAAAAAATCTTCGACGTACATTTGATAAACAAATAATGATCTCTGCATTCTGCAAGAACGCATTACCTGGATGCAGTTATTTGGGGTGTATAATCTTTGCTGTCGTTAAAGAACCGACTCAATATCACTGAAATCAGTGTAGTTGGGCAGAAAATTATGACCAGAACAGAGATATTTTACGGTAATGCTTCTTAAGTTTGTGCGTGTACTATGCAAAATTGATTTAAGCATAAGTATTAATTTAATATTTCACATTATATAATATCACGCCAAAGGGTAAGATGTTTGACTTCTGGAATTAATTTTTTTGTTACATTTTTTATAAGGCAATAGCCTATTTCTAGAGCGCCCCTTCCAGCTGAACCTTCTGCCTAAACTTAGCAGTATTCTAGACTGATAGACTGATTCAGACTCGCATATTTCACAATACCAGCTGTCAAATTTAGCTACAACTAATTTTGCTTTATTAATTTTTTTTTTTTTTCACCACCAATTTTTGACAATTTTAAAGTCGTTTTAACCGATTTTACTTTATATGCCTCAGCTCGTGCTTCAAGTTTGTTTTTGTGCGGAGAACTAGTCAATTCACTGTATATACAAATATCCTCGACACTTTATATACAAATATCCTTACTTTTTGTGTACGTTAGTAGAGCTCGTAAGAAACATTGGGTATAGTCAAATTGGCTGCCAAGATCTGAAACCTTGTGATCCAAACATTGTACATCAACCACTTTTTGACAAAAAGATCATTATATTTCCACATCTACATATAAAATTGTATCTCTTAAAAAAATATGTTCAAACTTTTCCAATTGGAGGAGACTTTTAAGTATCTCATTTCCTAGACACTCATTTGAAAAAGAAAAAAAAGACTATGGTAGGACTGTAAACTGTGATAGTAAGGACATTAGGTGTATTGATCCCAGTAAAAGATTATAAAGGTTTCAAATTGTAAAAGGATGTCTATGATATTTAAAATGTTTCATTATTTTATCTTCAGGGAATTGGAGGCAGGGGCTCTACGGTCCTGTAGCATCCACGGTACAACTCCTCCCCCGAGTATGGGATTCCATTTAGGAGAACACATTTTAGATTCGAAAGGTATTGAACATATAGAGGAACATCTCAACGATGTTCTAATGAAGGAGTGCCATCCGTGGCACCACTGCCCTGAAGTCCATAAAGCCATAGATGGTGTTAGATTCATTGCAGATCATACCAGGAGAGAAGAGGACTCCACAAAGGTCTGTGTTGTTTAATATTTAATAGGGATTTTTTTATTTTATGGATTAGTTATTAAATAATATTGCCAAAAATATAATATAATATATATATATATATATATATATATATATATATATATATATATATATATATATTTATATATATATATATATAGATGTATATATATATATATATATATATATATATATATATATATATGTATAAGCATATATATTAAATTATAGAAAAAGAGATAGCCCTGAAGATTTACAATCTCCGATGGGAGCAGCACTAGAATATGATTATTGCTACATAATGAGCTTTATTACTACGATATAAAATTCCTATTGTTTGTGCTCTATACTTTCAATACTATAGCCTACATTAAATTTATATGTGTTTACCATTTTTGTATTACACTTTTTATTAACGGATAACTTTGTAAATAATACTAAATCTTCAAATATAATCATCATATAAATTTTCTGTTTATTAACAGATTGAATTATACTGTTCGACAATTGACGTGGATGAACTGGCCTATTAAGAGTGAACGTGTACGTATCGCTCTGTAAATTAGTGTCGATTTTCGCAATTTATTACTGTAAATACAAGTTTTTATTAGTATTTAATTACAAATAGTGATAAACAAACAGTTGTGTATCGATTGGTGATATTTTCTTCATTGCTGCATACAACGTGTTCCAGGCAACAAGCAAGTATTGCAATATTTATAAACAATTGTCTAGTTTTTTTTTTGTTTTCAACCTACTGATAAGAAAGCAATTAATTCTGCCAAGAGCTCTACGCTTTTGGCAATATAGACAACACATTTTACAATATGATTTATTGTTGTTTGCGGACATTTCAGAAGAAATAGATACATTAATCTTAATCACTCCGTTGCTTTTGACTACAAAAGCAACTAAATTATGAATAATAAATCTACAGTTAATACCACAGCAATGCCTTCATCCAGTAACACCGAATCTTCAACACCTACATCTTACGTAGCTGCCATGAAATCTAGACCCAAGCCTTCCTTCCCTAAAAAGGAGCAAGCAATTATTTACCACTCAGAAGAAAATCTAAAACTATTCAACTATGTAAAATCCACTGGGGATATTGTTGGCCCTAAAAATATAATATTTGCATCTCGAATCTCGAACAACCGGATCTGCATATACTTAAGCAAAGTTGAGCTTGTTGACCAGCTTATTTCCAACAATCCTATTATTAAAATAAACGGTTTAGACCTACCTATTAGGAGATTAGTTACTCCAGCAAAACGTATTATAATTTCGAATGTCTGTCCCTCAATTCTCCATGATCTCGTTGAAATCTTAAACACCTAGTTTAAAACTAGCTTCTTCCGTCTCTTTCTTAAAAGCTGGAATTCAAGGAGATGAATATAGCCATATCCTTTCATTTCGAAGACAAGTATACATAATTCCACCTACTGAAAATTATGAGCTTCAGACCTCCCTAGTTATCGAATTTGATTCCACACCATACCGTATATTTCTATCTACTGATAGAATGGAATGCTTTATTTGTAAGCAAGCTGGCCATACAGCTGCAAATTGTACAAACTACCAAAACATCAATGTTCCTCAATCTGCCGATGAACAACCATCGGCAACAAAAACCTCATCAACCTTAGAACAAATGCCCCACGAACCCATACAAGGACAAAAAAGGTCACTTTCTAGCCCACTTAGTACACCTGACCCCCACTCGCTTGACCAACTTGTATCTAATCCTTAAATTGAAAATTCGCCATTGATGCCTCCTCCTAAAGACTTTCAGGAAAAAAGCACAAAACACGTAACGAAAACGTCAAAAATGGATCCCACAGATAAATCCAAAATATCAGATCATCATCATCATCACACAGCCAAATTTGTCCACTGTCGAACATAGGCCTCCTCAAGATGTCTCCACTCTTCTCTGTCCTGTGCAGCTGCGATCCAGTTTGTCACTATTCTTTTAATGTCGTCCGTCCATCTGGTAGGTGGTCTTCCACGATTTCGCTTGTCTGCCCTTGGCCGCCATTCTAAAATCTTCTTTGTCCATCTGTTGTCTCTCTGTCTTGCGACGTGTCCTGACCATTTCCACTTCAACTTCGTAATCCGTTTTATGACGTCTTCCACTCCAGTTCTTCGCCGTATCTCATCATTTCGTATTCGGTCTCTCAAAGTTACGCCAAGCATAGATCTTTCCATTTTTCGTTGTGCTACTTGTAACTTTTTTATTGATGCTTTAGTCAATGTCAGTGTTTCAGCTCCATAAGTGAGCACCGGAAGTACGCACTGGTTAAATGCTTTTCTCTTTAGCTTTATTGGGATGTTTTCCTTAAACACGTCTTTTAGCTTGCCATAGGCTGCCCATCCTAAAGCTATTCTTCTAGATAATTCGCATGTTTGGTTGTCTCTACTTATTTGTATTTCGTGGCCCAGATATATGTATTTGTCAACCGTTTCAATATGCCAGTTTTCTAGTTTCAATGGTCCACTAGGTACTAAGTTGGTCATCATTTTAGTTTTCGCAAAGTTTATTTCCAGCCCTACTTTTTGGGAGACTCGTTGTAAATCTTGTAGCATTTCGTTGGCCTCCTTTAAGTCGTCGGTTATTAGAACTATGTCATCTGCAAATCGTAGGTGGTTCAGCCTTTCGCCATCGACACTCAAACCTCTGTTTTCCCATTCTAACATCTGGAATGCATGCTGCATTACGGCATTGAATAGTTTTGGTGACATGTTGTCTCCTTGTCTAACTCCCCTTTTTAGTTTTATTTTTTGAGTAGGGGTGTGGAGGTTTATTGCTGTTGTGGCATTTGCATATATATGTTGAATAATGCTGGTATATCAGTAGTCGATTCTACAATCTCTCAAAGCTCTTAAGATAGCTACCATCTCTATAGTGTCAAAGGCTTTTTTATAGTCAACAAATACTAGAACTAGTGGCCGGTTGTACTCTATAGTTTTTTCAATTAGGGCCTTTAGACAAATTAGATGGTAATTTGTACCATACCCAGGGCGGAAACCTGCCTGTTCTCTTGGTTAGCATGTTTCTAGTTTGTTCTCAATTCTGGCAGTGATAATTCGAGCAAATAATTTATACAGGTGACTTAGAAGACTGATTGGCCTATAGTTTTCGAGGTCTGTTTGATCTCCTTTCTTATGCATGAGGAGCGTTATAGAGTTATTCCATTCAGCTGGTATTGCTTGGTTTTCTAAGCATATATTAAAGAGCTGCTTGATTGTCCTGATGAGAGCAGAGCCTCCGATTTTTAGCGCATCCGCCACTACTCCATCTTCTCCGGTGCTTTGTTTTTTTTTTCATTTTCTTTAGAGCATGGTAAATTTCAGCCGTTCTGTGGTTGGCGCATAAGTCTGTATTATTTTGATGTTATATCAGATGCATCAAAGCAAATAGTTAATGATCTCTACACCAACAGCCCACAAAGCTTCTCTACTCCACCAGATAATCTCATATCCTTTCTTGAAAACGCCCCATCAAGTAGTAACCTCACAATAGAAGCCCAGCAAATTACTTCTTACTTTTATGTGACATGTATGCAATTAGCCACATCTAACCACCAGATCACTAAAAAATAAGTTCACAAGAATACCAAAAAAGCTCAAACAGCGTGTTACGTGTGTCAAACTTTGAAATATATAATATTAAACACAAACTTTATTCATAGATCATATTTGGCAGTTAAAAGAAGTAACAACAAAATACTTTGCAACAAAATAAATAAATAATATAAAATCAATGAAAAATTCTAGAAAAGTTATAACAAAATTGTTTTATTGCCACATTTATAAACAATTTAATATATTATAGGGCAGGCTGTCCTTGTTATGGCTGTTGCTCTATTTGGAAATATCATTAGTAAATTATCAATAAAAGTGTAAGGTATTGTTTACCAAATTGTTGTAAAGTTTAAGGTGGCTCTAGGAGTCTGTTCAAATGGCTAGACATTTCTGCCCAAACGTGTTCGATGCAATTCATGTTCTCAGGACACAGTGGAAACTCCACTCTTTTAATTTCATGATAATCTATCCATTCGTTCGCAGTTCTCGCGCGATGGGGAGCATTATCGTCGATCAAAACAAATCTATAACCTATAGCACCAATAAATTGAAATTATTATTGACCCGATCAGGATATCTTACAACGTCATTCTTTCATTAATTAAAATTACTGTCCATTCATAAGTCATCCATTGATCCGCCTCCAAAGAGAGAGGGTGTTCTCCATTAAATGTTCATTATATCTACCTTTAGACGGTAATATTCTATCGTCAGACGTATATAAACGAAATTATGATTTCATTATCAATTATCAGAAATGAGGCAATGTCTTCAGTCTTGCAAGCCTCATTGACTGTGTTCCATTGCCCAACGACATCTGGGTGTACGTTACTCGGCCGTCAATCGTGGGTGTGTAGCGCATCTTCTTGCTCTCAATTGACATGCATGTAACCTTCTTCTAATAGTTTGCCAAAAAATCATTCTTCTTGGACAAAATCTTGAGCATAAATATGGCTCTTTCTTATCCTCCTCCATATGTATATGCTGCATATTCAGTCTCTAAATAGCGTTTTCTTGTCAGTTTACAACACTGTGACACATTCACTTCATACAACACTGTGAGCGATTTCCACATGACACAAACCTTCCTGTTTTCAACGCACTAATTGTTTAAGTTCCGCAGTATCCAATCGTCTTTAGGCATATTACTAAACTAAATTTTATCTTAAATAAACTAACTTTTATTGGAACCACAGTAAAAAAGTCACTAAAACGGATTTTATTTATTGAAAAGTAAAAAAACAAAGGAAGAAAAAGTAGCATGTAAAAAGCGTTGGCTATCAATTTTTGTTCAGGGCCTTATCTATTACAATGAAGTCGGAATATTGTTTAAGACAAAATTACGAAGAATAAAAATATCCACTTCAATTCATAAGCAGTGTATATAAAGTATAGACATGTATCAGCTTTCTTAA